TTACCTTTGTCTAAGATACGGTGGGGAAAATCGGGAATATTTGCAACAACAACAACAAAATAGTCATTGAGTTAGTAGCTAAAAACATTTCCCCTAGATCTTCAAAAGCTGACCTTCATTAAAATCTCTGATCAGATATAATTTCCTCAACTACCCTTAGCATTATTTATAAAATAGAATACCCCCATCCCATTTACTAGTTCACTACCCTGCCTTCTCATTTCTCTAACAAAGTGAATGGATGACTCTCATTAGAAAAAATTCTCTAAGGACTCTTTTTTTAAAAAAAGATTTATTCATTTATTTCAAAGGCAGAGAAGATAAGGGTGGAGAAGAGGAGGGAGAGAGAAGGGACAAAGAGGGAAGGAGAGAGGAGAAAGGGAGGGAGGGAGAGAGGGAGGAGGAGGGAGACAGAGACAGAGAAAAGGGAAGGAGGGAGGGGGAGGAGAGGGAGAAGGACTATCTTCTACCTACTGGTTCACTCCCTAAATGGCCAGAACAACTGGGACTGGGCCACGCTGGAGCCAGGAGCTTCTACAGGGTCTCCCACATGGGTGCAGGTGCCCAAGTTCTTGGGCTGTCTTCCTGTGCTTTCCCAGGCACATGAGCAGGGAGCTGGACTGGAAGTAAAGCAGCTGAGATTGGAACCAGCTCTCCTATGGGATGTTGGCATTGCAGGCAAAGGCTTAGCCCACTTCGCCACAGTGCCAGCCCTAATAAGGACTCTTTGAACCATTCGATGGCTAGATTAATGATGGTACATAGTACTGCTCAAACATTATCTAATGGAATAAATTAATGAAATTGGTAGTCCTAAGTCTTGATAAAACATTGAGATGTTTCATATGGATTTAACAGATATTCCAGGTTGAGGTCATGATGTTGGCCACTTCTGTGAAAAACACCTACAAATGACATCTTCTCCTATACATTATTATCCTCCAATATCATACCTTGGCAATGACTTCGTTCTTCCATTTGTAATTTAACTATATGAAAATAGCAAGCTTATATTTTTTCTATTAAGACTGGGCATGGGGGCGCTGATGTGGCACAGCAGGTTAACATCCCAGACTATGGCACCTGCATCCCATATGGGCACCATTTCAAGTTCTGGCTGCCCCACTTCTGAACCAGCTCCCTGCTCATGTGCCTGGAAAAGCAGCATAGAATAGCCCAAGTCCTTGGTCCCCCTGCACCTATGTAGAAGACCCCTGAAGAAGCTCCTGGCTTTGGATTGGCTCAGCTCTAGCCATTGTGGCCATTTGGGGAGTGAACCAACAGATCAAAGTCCTCTGTCTCTACTTCTGTCACTCTTTCAAATAAATAAAATAAATCTTTAAAAAAGAAATCCTTAATGTCGGGGCCAGCACTATTATGGGTAAAGCCACCACTTACACCATTGGTATGCCACACGGGCATCTGCTCATGTTCCAACTGCTCTACTTCCAATCCAGCTCCCTGCTATTGGCCTGTCTCGGAAAGACCAGGGAAAGGCGGTCCAAGTGTTTGGGCCCCTACACCCATGTATGAGAGCTGGATGAAGCTCCTGGCTCCCAGCTTAGGACGGGCATAGCCCTTGCTGTTACAGGGACTGTACCCATGGATAGAAGATCTCTCAGTCTCTATGACTTTCAAGTAAATACATAAATCTAAAAAATAATGTAATGTAAAACATGGTCCAGATACAAAATTCTATTTTAAGCCTTAAGTTGTATATTAATAAATTAAAACAGTCCTAATGGTGTTAATTCTATACATGAGTATATTCAGGGAGGCAGAGCGGAGAGTGGAGATGGCTATGCCTCATGTTTTGTTCCTTGCTTCCTGCATTTGCTCTTCGATACTTTTTCCTCTTACTCACTGTCCATCTTTCTCTTTTCCCTATGGTCTTTTATGCTTCCTATTCCTCCCCCCGCCCCTTTTCCATATTTTGCCACACTGGTAGGTAATTCACAGTTCATAAGCAAATATAAAAAGCTTGTTTAATCTTTGATGACGCCAGAGAGTCCTTCTTGAAGTCAGAAGGTGAAAACGACCAGATGTAGGTTTAGCAAATGCACAGGGCAACTACAGAGAAAGTGTTCAGCTCACTGGTCATTTAAAAAAAAAAAAAAAAACAACAACAACAACAACAACAACTCAGGCTTATTAATGTCTTCCTTATCCTTCATGCCTTCATGTGCAAAAACAGAACTTGCCAGATTCTTTTGTCAATGAATCCTAGAATCATCAGATTTTAGGAGTAGCCTGGACCTTAGAGATCACCTACTGCAATACCCTCAATTTACAAAAGAGGAAATGGAGGCCAAGAGAGGTTAAGTGACTTGGCAAGGGGTCACAGAATTAATGAGTTGACAGGATGTAGGGATCCACATCTTAAGTGCCAGACCAGTCCCTCAAGAATGAGTGTAGGAGGTTTCACCAAAATCAAAGAAAAGATAACCAATGCATAAGAAAAGTTTGGGAATGAACACTGATTTCAAGTGCAAGTTATCTACTGCCTAAGGTATCTCCAGATAGTTTAAGTGAATAAGCATGTGACAATTGAAGAAAAAATAAGCTACGGTGTTACGCTATTTTTAAAAAGGTTCTTACAGCCATTTATTTTCTCATATTTAATAGTTTTCGATGTAATTTCTTACACACGTAGTGACTATTCCATTACACTGACCTCTAACTTATGCCTTTCCGTAATGGAAAGCAGCTGATTTTAATGTGACGCTGCTGTAGTGTGAAGGAGGTTAAGGCTGCATTTGTGTGCAATCAGGTTAAGACTGGCTCCAACGGGAGAAAAATCCATGCATATGTTGAAAAGATCTGAAAAAAATGCCTGTTTTCTCAACCTGATTACGACTTGCATTTTTGCATGGTTTGTCAAAGCAGATCACTGAAATCAAATCAAGATGTATACTGGGATAAAGTGGTTTTCTTCGCCATTCTTCCATTAATCACCATGACCTACTGAAGAAAGGAGTTCTTTCTCTCTCACCTGAGGCAAGGTAGGAGACTACCCCAGCAGTTAGGCCACTTTTATCAACTGGTGCTCCAACTCCAAAATTAATTTTCTAGTTTCATTTCCTACATTCCCAAATAGAACTTGTTTTACTGCAGAGTGATTTACCGTTAACCAATAATTAATCCTATTTACTTTAATAAAACATAACAGAAATTGTAACTTTGAAAATATACTTAAGGTAAAGCTTATGTAAAATTGACTTATTCAACTGAAAAATGTAGAAACAAAGTGATAGCTGGGCTTCCTAATGAATTACATGGGTAAAACCCAAACCAGGGTCCATTACTGGTTGACTTGCCAAACATTAGCAGATAATACATAAATATTTGTGATTGGCATAACTTAAAGTGCTGATGCTGCCCAGTCATATTCAACTGAGACAGCATACTGTTAATGGTAGCATTTAAAATACAAGTAGAATGAACATTATGCTTCAAAACACAGGCGTCATCTAGAAAACTCTCAAGTAAGATAGAGGCTAGGTTAAAATAGATTTGGAGGGAGGGGACTGTGTTGGCTCCGCTTGTACATAAGCATGTTTGTTACTGGAGCATTTTCAGTTTAATTTTTGCTATTAATGTAAACCACAATTGGGAGGACCAAGCTGCTGTTAGAGGAACCGGGGAGAGGCTAGTTATATAAACAATATACAACAAAGGAAGTCTTTATTTCCAACACCTGAATACATCAGGTTTGTTTTTAGGCAGAAGGTTGCAGGTTAAATGCTCTCAGCTATCCAAGAAGTGGCTTATTAGTTTTGTAAGAAAATATTTTCTTATATTTTGACTGAGAAATACCCAGTTTAAGGGAACAAAACCATCCTTGTTAGTGAAAAGCAGACCCAAAAAAACTGTATTTCAAAGACTCAGTAAAGAAAAGCAAAACCAATTCAAGGGGAAAAGCTGCTTTCCCTACTAGGAGCTTCTGAACCTGGATCTAATAGTTCTCAAAGGCCAAGTGGAGGCTTCAAGTCTTTAAAGTGTGTCTTTGTCCACGGGTCACAGACATTCTCTATGAGGCAGTGCAATGTGGATATAAACCCATTTTAAGCAGATATGTATTCTCTGAGCTTTAGGGATGATGCTGAGAAACTATGAACCAACTGAAAGATAAAAGCCAACAAACATCTGGATTATCCAGCGATCATGGTTAAGTTTTGATTGTTGCAGTTTTCCAAGCACAACCGTCTGTCTTGTTTTTTTCTCTTATGCTCCAGAAAATCCCCGCTTCATCTCTGGCTTGGGCATCAGCTAGTGACCCAGTAAATGGTGACAAGCCATCATGGCCTTAAGTGTCACAGTGACAGTGCTAAGAACTGCTTGTCAATAGACCGACTGCTGCAGCCGGCACTTTAGTTCTGTCCTCTTCTCCTAATTTCTAAAATGGGCCTAATCCTGTTATTACAGAATAATTACTGCAAATCAGCACAATTACTACAAGGACTTCAATAAACACACATACCAGTAGCTGTTTTCTACAAATTATTATCAAAACAAAGAGCACTAATTGTGGTAACATTAAGACAACATTTATTCCTCCCAGTGTTTGGGCAAGTTTATTTTAAGTTGTCAACTTCAACTAGTAACCATGCAGATGACTTTACAGATTGCATGAACCTTCCTCATCTAAACTCTTCCCCACTGAAACTCGGCAGCATCATTTGCAGCAACATCTGCAAAGGCCTGATTTCACGAGAACCCACTTTTATGGTACATTCCAAAAAAAAAAAAAAAAAAAAAAGACACTTTTAGAAATCTCACTTTAGTAAGCGCATCTGTTCCTTTCTCTTCTAAATTATTTTGAAATATGAAAGTGAAATAGTCCCTTCAGAGTCTTCACAACACAAGCATTTCTTTCTAGGTAAATATAACATAGAATTTCACCCCTCACCCATGTTATAAGCTTTCCTTCATGGATAAGTAATTTGTATTGGGAAAAAACCAGTTCGGGTGGGGAGAATTTAGTGGTCATTCACACCTACCTCCTGGACAGTGCCTCATGGCCATCTTACATCTCCGGGATTCAGCAATGGTTGGACAGGGTATTGTGTCCTTTGCAGGCTTTTTAACAATTTGCCGTGTTCTGGTTTCCAGGCCCCATTTAAATCCACATGTGCGATTATTTCTGCTACAAGTTCCCCATTCACTCCAATGACCAACTTCACATCCTTCTAATGCAGATTAAGAAAAAAATACAAACACAGGTGACACTTTGGTACCCATTTGCTACACTGTCAGATTTACATAGCACTGTTTCTCCCTTCCCCCCACCTTTCCATACCAAAGATTGAGTTCTGGAAGCCTACAAAGACCTACATTTGCCTTTGGGGAATTTAATTCTTTGAACCATTAGACACTTCTCCCAACAACAAATTCCACATAAGTAATTTAAAAACTATTACTTTCCATTGTCTTCATTTTTTGGAAGAGCTGCTACTGGTCAGTTCTAATGACACTGAAATGTATTATCTTTAAAAGATGCAACAGCTAAAGCCTAAAATAGAAGACACTATCAGGGCAAAATTTTACAGGTTAATTCTGAGTGCCTTCTGCCCCTACAAATCCACATATGTGCCATCTTGAAGCACTTGGTGAATAGGAAGGAGAAGTCTGTATTGCATTTCCCCATTCTCACTCGTCTTTCAACAGGTGTCTAGAAATTACAGCATGTATTTAGTATTCCCCGTATTGGAGTTGCACAATGCAACAGTTTAAAAAGTAGGTGAGCATCATCAGGTAGTTGAAAATGCATGTTTTACCTAGATAGGTAAAAGCTTTCCATCCCTTTGGTAAGTCCATTAGTAGAAAAGTAGGCCACCCTCCCACTCTCCTGGAGAAGTGGAGAAGGGAGGAAAAGGACGAAAATAAGCAGTTAAACTTCCCTGTCAACTTCTCCATTAAAGGGCTCCTGTATATAATGAGCATAACTCAGGACCAGGGTCCACACACAATTAATATTTTACTATTCTAGATCTCAGTAGGCATCAAACTATGTTTAGGTAGTCAAATAACTTGAGTGACATTCATTTATAATAAGAGAACCAATTCATTTCTAGGAAGAATCTATCTGGCATGCATGATTTCCAGAAACAGGTGTTAAAATAAAAATTGCAGTATGAGAGTTACATTAAAAACTACTTACCCACGCACTCCATGGTTTCATCTAATGGTGCAAAACCATCTGGACATTCATCAAAGCAGCGGCCTCTATGCAAATAGAAGCCTACTTTGCACTTGGTACAAAAGTCTTTGCTAAAGCAAGAATCACAGTTTTCTATTCTGCATCCTAAAAACAATTTTAAAGAGAAAAAGGAAATTTCAGTCAAAGAAATTTACTGGTTTGGCAAATAGAACTTTCAAAAACTCATCAGTTAGCCAAATTGAAATTCTAGTGGTCAGAGAAATGAGTTCAATGCATTTGTTTCCCAATGGTGTCTCATTCTACATCATTCCTATCTCCTCCAACAGCTCACCACATCAATAAGCTAAGACAGAATGCCAACCCAGGGCCCTAGGCAGCATGAGATGCTTCAGAAGTGTTTGCAACTCCAAACGGGATTACAACAAAGGATTAAAAAGAAAAAGCAAACACACCCCCCACTACAAATTACAGTGCTGCCAGGACCGAAATCAGTTCCACCCTTTAAAAGATTGACAATGAAAAACACAACGGAGGGGCCAGCCTGTAAAGCTTCTGCCTGTGGCGCCTGAATCCCACATGGGTGCCTGTTGGAGTCCCGGTTGTTCTACTTCCAATCCAACTCCCTGTTAATGTGCCTGGGAAAGCAGTGAAAGATGGCCCCTGCACCCACATGGGAGACTCAGAAGCAGCTCCTGTCTCTTGGCTTTGGATTGAACCCCCCAGCCTCAGTAGTTGCTGCCATTTGTGGAGTGAACTAGTGGATGGAAGCTCTCTCTTGCTCACTCTTTCTCCCTCTCCAACTCTGCCTTTCAAAAAAATCTTTTTTAAAAATAACACAATGGAAACACTATCTTCTGTTTGGACATGGTAAATGAGTTAAGAATTATATTTTTAAATGCATGATCGATGACCTAGGGCAAATAGTCAAGGCTGGCATCTACTTTCATCAGAGGTGAACTTGACTTAGGCAAGTGGTGGGAGGTTAGGTCTTTGCTGCGATTTAGATATGATTTGTCTCCCAGAGATTTCAGCCATGTTGGAGGCTTGGTCCTGAGTGTGGCTGTAGCCAAGTGATGAGAAGGTAATTAGGTCACCAGGATCATTGCTCTTGGAGCAAATCAACATAGTTCTCACAGGATCCTAGTTAGCTCGACAGAGAGACAGTTATTACAAGAGACCAAGATTGGCCCCTACCCTCTCTCTCTGCCTTCCTGTCTTGCTGGGTGATCTCTCTCACATTTGCACCATTAGGCTCTCAGCAGAGGCTGAACAAATCAGGCTGCCTGGTCTTGGAGTTTCAGCCTCCAAACTGTGAGCAAAATAAACTCCTTTTGTTTATAAAGTACCTACACTTTGGGTATTTTGTCACAGCAACAGAATTCAGACTAAGACATTGTGTTAAGAACCTGCGATGTTATCAAAGGCTTTACACACATTTCCATTATCTCTTCACAACAATCCAACCAGATGGGTAACAATATCTCCATCTTAACAATGAGGAACCTTACACTAAGAAAGTGACTCACTTTGCTAATACTGAGTTAGTCCTTAAGGCCCCCCAAAACTGTATTCCTCCCAAATCCATTCTCTTCTCTGTAGCTCACTCACTAGAAGTGCTTTCAGGTCTAGGAGATCTGGATTTGGGCACCATCTCTGCCCTCACCAGCTCGATGCTTGTGGGTGATTATACACCTCTCTGAGCAGCTATACCCTCATGTCTAAAAGTGGGATGTCACTGATCTTAAGAGACTGTTGTGAGCATTTCTAACAATATTTGTAAACTCAGTGGCTCATAATAGGTAGTCTGCAGATAGAAGCAACAGTGAATTAGAAACATGTATTTTTCCACCAAACCACATATATTACAACAAAGTATAAAGGGCAGCAATAATTCATAAGCTTGAGTTCTAGGTCAGCTTCTCTGGTATACTAGAAACATCTGGGCCAGAAATCACTGGCATGCACAGGTGAAAATAAGCACACTCCAAACTGTATTTCAAGAAGAGGAAAGCAGAGTAGGTTGTAGGATAGGTTAACTGGATGGTCAAGTTTTCAACAGTGCATTGTAGTGTATTATCACTTGTAAAGATTTTTACTAACGGTAATTAACAGCATGTAAAGCACTAGGAAAACTGTGCCACCACATTTATTCATTCAACAAGTCTCCAGCCCGGTATTTGATGCTTTAAGGATTCTGGAAAAAGTAATATACATATCTTCCTGCAATATGGTAGAAAATGCAAAGTGTGAAATCCCTGGATATTAAATTTTTTGGAACATCGAGAAAATACCAGAAGGTAGATTTAAAGGCTAAAACTTACTCATTAAGTATATTACACTATAAATGATGACAGTTGCTAGACTTAAGAAGATGGTAACTCTCTGCATGTCAACAACAGATTTTGTGTTAAAAAACACCCATGAAGCAGCTAAATCAACTTCATAATCAGAACACAACAATATGTGGATTAAAGTCCGCAGACCAATTACACCATTGCTCTATTTCGGGAAGAGAACTGGTGGGCACAGAAGTAGAGTTTATTATCCCACAAAAAGGTTGAGATGTCTTAAATGCCAAAACCTGTATTTTAATAAACCAGTGGGATATAGCTGGTCAGCAGCCTCTGAATCATGGTCAAAATACATGACCATTATGTCCACAAGTTGTTGGATTTTCTTGCTCTTTTTTTTCCTGAAGCAAGCAGCCCTTCTTGTTGCAAAATTCTAAGAAATAAGCATTCCAACAACAACAAAAAAAAATGGAACTAAAGGGCAACAGGTATAAACCATTCCTATTGAGGGGGCTCTATACTTCACAAATTGGCTATTATGAAGTATGTATTTATGTATGATTTATCTTTTAAATTTCACTTGCATGGATAAATAAGCTTTTTGTCCAAAAAGGTTTAGAAAATAAAGATTTGGAGTTTTATAAATGCCTTCACTGATATTTGTTACTTGTAGCTTCCTTTCTTCATTTCATTCCCCATTTTTTTTTTTATTTTTTTTGACAGGCAGAGTGGACAGTGAGAGAGAGACAGAGAGAAAGGTCTTCCTTTGCCATTGGTTCACCCTCCAATGGCCACTGCGGCCGTCGCACCGCGCTGATCCGATGGCAAGAGCCAGGAGCCAGGTGCTTTTCCTGGTCTCCCATGGGGTGCAGGGCCCAAGCACTTGGGCCATCCTCCACTGCACTCCCTGGCCACGGCAGAGAGCTGGCCTGGAAGAGGGGCAACAGGGACAGAATCCGGCGCCCCAACCGGGACTAGAACCCGGTGTGCCGGCGCCGCTAGGCGGAGGATTAGCCGGCCCTCATTCCCCATTCTTGATGCTGGTTCCTAGAACGTGGAACTTCTGAAATACTTGTCATTCACTGCACAGTCCCTCAGGACTTCTTTGGCTATAAACCCCACTAGAATAAAGTTCAATTATGTGGGGCCGGCGCCGCGGCTCAATAGGCTAATCCTCCACCTAGCAGCACCGGCACACCGGGTTCTAGTCCCGGTCGGGGCGCCGGATTCTGTCCCGGTCGCCCCTCTTCCAGGCCAGCTCTTTGCTGTGGCCAGGGAAGGCAGTGGAAGATGGCCCAAGTGCTTTGGGCCGTGCACCCCATGGGAGACCAGGAGAAGCACCTGGCTCCTGCCTTCGGATCAGCGCGGTGCGCCGGCCGCAGCATGTCAGCAGCGGCGGCCATTGGAGGGTGAACCAATGGCAAAGAAAGACCTTTCTGTCTCTCTCTCTCACTATCCACTCTGCCTGTCAAAAAAAAAAGTTCAATTATGTGTTCTCAAATTTAAGCAGAATGAAAATATGATCCACTCAAATTGTAGACTACCCCAGCCATTAAAAAGCAGGTTAATTTTAAGTAATGATCCAGAAATCTTCAAAAACTATTGTTAAGTAAACAGGTTAAGTTGAAGATATTTAGAGAATGAGACAATAAAATTATAAATGTGCATTTGTATAAAGTAGCTTAGAGATGTTAATCTTGGGAGAGGATGGTAGAATTTTTAAATATGTTAAAATTGTATTTCTGAAACATGAACCTTTTATAGTATACCATATTTATGTAATGAAGTGTAACAGAAAGGGTTATTATAATATACATTGTGATCCACTTAAGTTTATTTTAAGAAGTCACCCCAGTAACATTATGAAATAAAACCCTCTTGATTTTAACAGGCAAGAATAAACAAAGACCTATTATCCTATCCCAAACTGTTCAGACTTGGGTGCATGAAATTATATCCTGTTCTTAATAATGCTGAACCTGCTGTAACCCTCAAAACACACATCCATTTAACCATCTCCTGCCAGTATTCTATATGTTTTCATATGCTCAATGGTGCTTTTCCTTCATGGAAATCATGAAAAAAAAACTAAATAAAATATTGTTTATGCAATAAAATATTTTTTAGAAAGTTCTGATTGGTGCCAAGTCCTAACATCTGAAGCTCGGCTGGCCTTCCTGGTTTTGGTCGCTCTTTGCCAACTTCGAACCAAAGCAGGTGACTCATGCATTCAGCAGTCTGCACTGACAGAACTCATCTAATCACAAATGCCTATGAACCCAAAGCCTTGAAAAGCTAGCGACTGCATAAACCACTCACCCCAGCAGCCCCCTTTCATGCTGTGTTTCAGTCCCTGGAAGCCTTTTCTCACCAGCTCCAGACCCATCTACGTACGACCCCCTGCCCTGTTCAGCCACTTCTCTAGGAAATAAAGACTGCTTTGGGAAAAAGGTCTTTGTAGGGGCTCATAATCCTACACTTTCTCCCCAGGCCTGCAGCCACTTCTAAAGAAAACGAAAAACCAAAACCAAACAACAGCAACAACAACAACAAAAACTGGCTCATTGCCTCGAATTTGATTATCAACACTATTAACCCATATATAATCAAGTTAATGATATAATTTATAATTAATTTTAAATATCAAAGTACAATGTTCTCATTATAAGTAGCAATTCCAGAGGTACTGTATATACATATGTATGTATACACACACATCAATATATAAATATAGAAATCCTCTATTAGACCCACCCCCAGAAAGCACCACCATTTCAGTTTCTTACATACACTTTAGGAAAATATCTACATAACCTTATCAACAAATGAGTCAGCAACCATTAAAACACCAGT